TAAGTTTGGTTATGAACTTACTCCCGAACTTTTAATCAGAGAAACATCGACAAACCGTTTTATTCTCTTCAGCAATGAGTAACAGAGTCATTTTACCGGCCGTTTCATCAAGATCTGCGCGTCATCTTGCCAGATCTTGTAACGGATCGGCACCGGGCAGTTTTAGCTCTGGGTTCGATGACTTTACCGAACCGCTTCTTCATGGAACTAGCTTTGAAGGTTCAGTCCACTATCAATCGATTTATGATTCCTCTGAGTTCAACGGTAGCCAGAGAAATCGCATCGAAGTCATGAGAAAACGACTCAAATCGCACTTTATGACTCCGTATCAAAAATACAAGAATCGTGGAAGGAAACCGTGGAAGCTTTTGTTGCAACTGCTCAAATTGATCATGGTTACTGTCCAGGTAGGCTCATGAACGTTGTTTGCAAACGTTATTAATTCGTATTCCTTTGTTTGTTGAAATGTATTGTGGAAGTAATTATTTCCCTAGTTCGTTTATGATCTAGATAATTCCGATCACCTTAAAACCTTATTTATGGCTGTGGTAACTTTTCAGTTTTCAATCCAAGCCATGATAAATTGTTTAACACATAACTGAATTCTCAACGTCAACTTATTTGTATTACAGGGAACATTTAAAGAATCATAACTGCTCATGTATTCTGATCGTCCGGGTTAGAGAAGCCTTGCAAAGTCGTAGTTATTATAAATTTAGCACCATGCACCGATATCAGCGATAATTCTCGACTACTCTATAAGACCATACTCGATGCATTGTATTTCTCTGAAGTGTTACTAGCTATGCCGCATCGTAATTTCCAGTATATGTTGGCAAAATAAATTTCTTCTAAAGCAGCATCTGGTGGAAATTGAACAGTGGGGTTGAAATGTTTAAGTCATGTGATTGTTATGATCACTTTTGGTTACTGGTTCCTGATCATGTGGTGAACCACAATTCCTTTTCTAGTTTACATGTAGTTTGTTTTTTGTTTGATTTTTACTTTTTTATTATCATTGTTGGTGCTTGGAAGGATGAAGGAGTTTTTTTTGGAGAGGAGGGGAGTAGCTGGGGCTAGGGTGGAAAGGGGAATACTTATCTCTGAGTTAAAAACCCAAAATTAGCCTGTCATGTGATGGATGCATGTAAGGGATTTTTTATTTTAGCTAGACACCAAATTAGCCTGTGATGTTGTGGAAGCATGTACGAGATTTTTCATTCTAGTCAGACACCAAATTAGCCTGTGATGTTGTGGAAGCATGTACGAGATTTTTCATTCTAGTCAGACACCAAATTAGCCTGTCATGTGACGGAAGCAATAAGAGGACTTTTGAGTGTGCCATTGTAATATACTTGAGGCTCAACATGAACGGTAGCCAACTAGCCACAGACTTGTACAAATACAGTTTTGGCAAGTGGTTTTTTATTTCCACCCGCCAGTTTGGCTACTAAACAAACTGAAATTGTTGTAACATTTAAGGTGTCACTAGCCACTTGGCTAGTAAGTTGAATAGTTAGTGATGTTGAGCCCTGATACTCCTTACTCTATTTTTTCATTTGTGGAAAAAAATTTTCCCCAGATATTTTTTAAAGTTTTAGTAAAATATGCAGATTGTTGATAATTGCAAGACCTTAGAATCAATTTTTGTAAGGTCATCTTGTAAATGTATTGCATGCAAAGCATAAAGATTTATTGTGTAATGAGCTAGAATCCAAGGCTGTGCTCTAAGAAAAATTGAAGTGAGCCCAGTGCTCTGAAACTGTGGAATCCAGGGAGCCCAGCACAAGCTTTGTATGAAAAAACTAAGATCCTGAGTCACCCAAGAACAAAAGTAAGGCGCCAGGGACCACCGAGCACTGGAATCAATTTGCAATTTAAGGATAAATTGCTGCAATAGGACTGCCAACCAGGTTTTTGACATCATAAGGAATGAGGAATTTGATGTCTCTTTTTTATCTACATTTTGTTTTGACAGGTGTTCCTTTATGCCTCCGAGCTTTTCTCAGTTGTCACCTTTAAGTATGATAGCGAGCAAGCATTTAATTATTTGTTCCTTCTCAACCCCAATCAATCAGACTACTCCATCTACACAAAGAATCAGTTTTACTCTCAAATCCGTCACACTGTGAGACAGGTTAGTGAGGAACTTATTCTTCATCTGGAAAACTATGTGAGATGTACAATGGCCTAGCTTGTGGTCAGGGCTTTAAATTATGGTGAGAGGTCATAATTTGAGCCCTTTTTGTTTCAATGTGTTGCATAGTTGGTTAGCAAGTCAGTCTTGTGCATGTATATGTGTAAGGTCTCAACCAGAGCATGCCACTAATTTCTGTTGGTTGCTAGGTTGTCAAGCTGCCCCCTTGTCTAGTCTCTGTCCCTCTTTTCCCATTTTACTGTTTGCCCCAAAGTTTCCTCGGCATAACCTCAATTTGTGAGCTGTTAGGAGTCCATTTGAGGGCAACTCTGGGCAGGGCTATTGGTGAAATTTGGAGCACTGGGCCAATTAATCTCCATATTCTTTTCACTGTGTTGTATACTTTGGCATGATACTGCATACAGACATGCTCTTTGTTGAGGAGTGTAAATGGGTACTGGCAGTAGGTCATCAAAACTGGACAAAACACTGGGGAGGTAATTAATGTATAATGGCAGTCTCGTTAACAAAATTTTAAGCAATAGACCACACTTTTTATTGGTTTACTGGCATAATAACGTACATGGGATGTTACGGGGATGCAAGTGAATTACAAACTTTTCAAAAACAAACTTTTCAGGTAGAACGTTTGGTGTGTTGCTTTTATGAAAGAAATTTAAACAACATAGCACTAACAGTATGTTTCAATGCATTATGGGTTTACTAGTGCAATAAATGATACTTTTATGGTGTACATAGTATCTTAGCTATTTTATAAAAAACTATAAAAAAACAATAATGGGCACAATTTTTTTTTTTAATTTATGATTCATTATACTGTGGTCTTAATTTTAAAGTGGTCAGCTAGGTTTCACTTGGTGTTCTACTAAGAATACTCAAACTTATCTTGAAAGCAGAAGTTTTTATTGTGATTTCACACTGAATTGTTGTAACTTTAGAATTCATTAGGAAATGTGTAGCAGCCAGAGGGGAGAATTAATAATCAGATCATGGGAGATAAACTGTTGTTATCAGGGTTTATCTAACACTTAGATTTTTTCTTTTCAGTATTATCAAATCCAAGACATTGCTGTCGGGACCTTCGGGTTTCGGGAAAAAGGTGGTGAGGTTAATCCACCACGCTTTTGTACGTATCAGTATACCAACAGTTCCATGGACCCAGAAGAAGAATCTTATTATTTTTCAAGGCAGACAAGCTATTGTATCCTTACCATTATTGCATTGATTCCAAATATCAATTTACAATAATAATTTAATGAAATCAAGGCTGGAAAATCTGTTTTTCTTTTTATGGAAATCCTTCATATTACATTGGTCTCACCTTCTCTAAGACCATATTTAACCTTCAAGTCTCCTCTACCTCATTTTTATAGTTGCTAGTAGTCCTTACGTGTGTCAATAATGTGTCCCAGTAAGTTTATGAGTGATGAGAATTAGTATAGGTAATTGCATGGGGCTGAGTAAAATTAAGGATTAATATCACGCGTGTTTTTGGAAGTTGCTGAAATTGCCCGAGTCGCGCAGTGACGAGGGCAATTTCTGCAACTTNTGTCAAATTTCTTTACCTTGGCAGCCGTTGCTAAGCAATTTTCAGCCAATCATTTCAAGAAATTTTGCCTGGGGCAATTACAGAAATTAAGAAAAAATGCCCTCTGTCTTGACCAATCACAATTCAGTAATTTTGCCCCTTATATGATAAGGGATTTTATTACACGACTCGGGAAGGCAGAGGGCCAATAACTAAAATCAACCAATCAAAATGCTATATTGCCGGTCAATATTCTCTCAGTATTGGACCGGGCACTGTCCCGAATGGTCCTGAATGATACCACACTTGTGTCCCTTTGAACTTCAGTCATGTAATAAATCTCTTATTATCCAAGCTTGCTCGGGACCATACTGGAAGAATGTCGGCCCTCGGTGTACGGACCTCACTGTGCTCGGTCTGTACTGTCAAGACCTTGGGTCAATATTCTCCCAGTACGGCCCTCGCCCTTGGTTAATAAGATATATTTATTGACTCGATGTAACACATTCAGGTGATGTTTTTTTTTTTACTATTAACCTGTTTTCTTGGTAATATTTCAAAATTGCGAGAAGTTGCTCGTTAATCCTTTCTCTGTGTTGAAGGGTTGAAAGGAAGAGTCAAGATTTGAAAGGAAAGTGAAAAACAAAAATAATTATATGCTACAGGATTGTATTCTGCAGCTAAATTTTGATGATTTGAGCTATTTTTTGTGCAAATCTGGAGAATATTCTCTGATTGCTCAAAACACCATCCTCCTGGTATCACATTTCTTTAGTGGTGAAGCAAAAGATGGGGATGGGGTTTGGTTATAGTGGGGTGGGTGGGGTCTACACATTTTACTTACTTTTCGCCATTATCATATGCTGTCAGTGGAAGTGGATTTTATCTGCCAAATAATCTCAATGACACAAATTAAAAGTAGTATTTACTTTCTTAATGCTTCTAGCAGAAATTAGAATTTGGCACTCCCTAGTTAATTTCGTTAAACATAAGATATTTTTCTTCTTTGCCACCACTATTTATTTGAATTTGTATTTTTTTCTTGATCTGAAGGATAAGAGACATTATTTTGTTTATTGCATCCAATGAATTTTCCTTTACACATGAATATACAGCTTGCCATTCTATGTTAAAGACAAAGGCATCAGATCAAAACATCACATACTTTTTGAAAAGAAATAAGCTTCCTGAAACATTTGAAGGGTAATTTAACAAGTTGAATGTTAATTGGTTCTGTCAAAAACTTTACATTGTTTTATATTTAATATTGGCTTTTCCTGTATTTTATTTAGTTACATGAATTGTATCTTTGTCTACAACAAAAGCATACATAAGTTAAACTGGTTGGAAAACAATAAGTCTAGAGGAAAAGAAAAAATTGAATTGCGTTATTCTTTTCTATCAATTTATAACTCAGAGCTGTCATCGATACAAAGTAGCAACGAAGATTTATTTGGTGTAGCACAAAGAATCATGATGAAGCAGTGGTAGTGCTGTATCCAAATTTGTCCAGCACTTCTTGATAAACTTTAGACTATGCATAATAGTGTAAAAATTATATGGGCTAACACCTGACTGCCAACAAGTGTCACCAATTTTGCTGAAAGTTTAGTGGTCAAACTATTTGTGGTGTAAAACTGTTGCAGTTTGGTGCTTGTACATGTATGATGTGCATGTATGATAATTATGCATGTAGCCAGAAGAATTAGACCTGGCTTTGTGTTGCTAGTGCGATTGTGTAGAAGCGTGCATAGGAATTAATGCTCATCATTTTTATGTTCCTTTTTTTTTTTTTAGCATTATAAGTATTACTCTGAACGTTGAACTGCATTCTCTCCATGTGCAAAAGCCTCCCAGAAATCCAGCATGTTACTTTTTCAATATTACTGTAAGTGCAGTCTCAAGTGATTGTCAGTAAACTTGGTTATATTTGTTTCAAATTTGTGGGAAAGTTCAGAAGGAAAAAATTAATCAGCATACCAGAAGATAGATCAACAGAGAACAAATAGACAAGTTTGAGGGCAGATAGTTAGATGAGGTAGGCATCTAGAGTAACTGTGATGCTACATCAGGGGGGGGGTATTAATTGGAACACAATTTAGGTTTATTGATAAAAGTAAATTAGCCACTAATCTGATGTTTCATCCAAGTGAAAGAAGGCCAATAGACAGATACAGTAAAACTTATGAAGAGTATTGAAAATTCTAGATTATAATTTTGTGGATTTTGCTGAATAGTAGGCTGGGACATTGTGTTGTGTTCCTAGGCAAGACACTTTATTCTCACATTGCCTCTCTTCACGTAGGGGTAGAGGCACTGGGGGGTAACCGTGCAGTGGACCAGCATCCCATTCAGGGGGGAGTAGAAATATTCCTAGTGGCTTCATGCTACTGAAACCAAAGTAAATCGCTGGCCTAATGGGCCACTTGGTTCATAAACAGAAACAGACTTAGGTGCAAGAAATTCCCCTGCATGTAACTCTAACTTCATCAAGGAGGAACTGAATGACTGACCTTTAATTTACATTTCACAATCCAATGCTCAGCCTTAAGCTTGAGCTACAGATAATTTGATGAGCCACATCATATCTTGGGCACATAAGTGACAAGTATTGTGCATACTGGTGGCATTAGTACTGTCTAACAGAAGGTAGATAGGAAATTTTGAGCTCAATCATCGCATAAAGAAATTTGGTAATCATTTTTTTTTTTAACCCAAGCATGGGACAAGGAAAAACATCTGAGTCTCAAATCAAGAATTGAACCCTAGAGCACCAGATATTTTGAAAACTTCTTTTTAAATTTTGCAGATACAATTTGATAACAGTAACCATGATGGAAAGGTGCCTGTCACATTGACTTCTGATGGAAAGAAGGATAACTGCTCTGCTAGTAATTTAACACATCTAAGATTTGAAGGTACCAATTACATTTTTGTTCCCTTAATGCAAACTGCGGATGTACAAATGTACTGTAAAGCTATGCCTGCCAGGTCTTACGCCTGGGAGGGATCAAAAACTTCAATCATATTATGTTAAAATTATTGTGCCAATTCTTGCTTGAACCGAGGAACTCTGTTTTCGTCTAAGGCATTTTCCTACTTCGAGAGGTTTTAAGGAGAAATCTAATTTTTGAAAATTTTTAGGGAGTGTACCAAGTTTTTGGAGGTTGTTTTGTAAAAGAAAAGCGGTGAGGAAAACGCACCTCAAGCAACAGAATAGGAAATCAACCATGCGAACGAGTGAAAATCCGTGTTTCCGCGGCAAAACCTAGCGCATGCGTATACGTTATTCAGCTCTGTCGGGTGCATCATATTGTAAGGATAGGTTAGAAGCTAGTCCCGGGCCTCCTAGGAGTTAACGGGTTTTAGAAGTTTAAACTAGCACCTTTTATCACCTCTAACACCAAAGAATTCTTGGTGAATACGCATGTATACCTTCTTTTGTTTTCGTTTGATTGTTGTTTAGGTTCTCAAGAATCCAAAACACTGCATATATTTGTGGACATTTTGACAATAATCTTGTGCATTCTCTCAGTAACTCTTTGCTCGCGTTCAATCTTCCGCCACTTGCAGCTTGTGAAGGTAAAACATTAGAATTAGTGAAATCATTGTCTAAGTATAAAAATAGGAAGTCTAGGACTGCATGTGGCTACTTATATAGCTCAGTTTACATAGATTTGAAAAGAATTAAAGTTTGTATAATTACACCAGAAGGTAGTGTTGCAGAGGAATTGTATTCACGCGCAGAACCAAAACCAGCCACATTCCAGAAGAGAAAGATGATTCTAGAATACAGTGATTGACATTCAGTCATTGATTTAAAATTATCATATTAACAATAGTCATTATGATTGCAATAATAATTATTATAACTGCATTTCAAAATGTAGTGATGTTTGGCTATTTTTCAGGCAACCCGAAGGTTCTTTTCTCAAGAAATTGGAGACCACCTGTCCTGGTACGACTGTTTGGACCTTATGAACTTGTGGTTTGTGTTGATTGCAATCAGTGACACCTGTGCTATCCTTGGATCCGCGATGAAATTTCTGATCGATGTTAATGTAAGTAGTTTCTTTTGTAACGATAAAAAAGACTTGTCACCTTTCGTGTAGATAACTCAGGTCCCACTTTTAAGCCCCCTCTCTTACACACAGGCTTATCTTTTTATCTTTTAAGCCCCCTCTCTTACACACAGGCTTATCTTTTTATATTTTAAGCCCCCTCTCTTACACACAGGCTTATCTTTTTATCTTTTAAGCCCCCTCTCTTACACACAGGCTTATCTTTTTATCTTTTAAGCCCCCTCTCTTACACACAGGCTTATCTTTTTATTGGCGATATTTTCATTCCGTCGATTACACTTCTTTCATAGATTTTCAAAGGCCATGATAATTATGAGAAATTTAGCTTGTAGTATTAAGGTCACGGGAGGGGGGGGGGTAGGTGGGGAGGCAATGTACTCCTGTATGCAGCATGGTATTGCAATTTAGTCAGAAGGCTCACGCAACTCTACCATTGTGTGAGAACGAGAGAGTCTTTTTTGTTATGTTTTGTCTCAAGGAGACAGTTATAGGAGACAGTTATACGTTATATTCCAGACGTGCTTTAGAATACGCCTTCCCTCAGCGTGTGGTAAGGGGGGGGAGGTGAAACTCCCAACTCCCCCCCCCCTTTGCATTCTTGCAAACTAGTAACTTTATCCAAGAAAAAATTTCAAACATTCCTCTTCATTTAATTATAAGTTCATTTCTGATTTGACGAATGTGTTGGCCCCGTTTTACGCTTTCCTTCAACCAGTTACACTTTTACAGAGCAACTGAATGTTCTGAATATGCAAGTGTCATTTATTGGGAATTGATAAAAAAGATTTTTGTGTTGCTAACTAGTGTTCTGGCCCGTACATCTTTACTGTAGTGTACGCAAGAGATATACGATCTTTGCAGCATATTCCTTGGGGTTGCAGTTTTGCTGACATGGTGTGGATTGTTAAGATACCTCGGTCATTTTAAGAAGTACAATGTAAGTTAAATCAAGATGACCAATCTACCAATATTGGCGAAAGGAAAAATTGGTTTCCCTCCCGGATCGTGACATGTATGTTTGACTTTTCGTGAGCAACGGTAAAGCGGTGGTAAGACAGAACTAAGATCCAAGTAATGCAAGCCTGTATTGAAGATTCATGACAACGTCTGTTCTACATAAATTTGAAACAGTTTCTCACATGAACCGAGTCATTCTTTTTTTTTTTTTTTTTTTTTTTTTTTTTTTTTTTTGCCGGAACATATGCGTCATCTTTCGAAATAATTTCCTTGCAGCGAAACGGGAAGCGTTAGGGTTTACATGCGGTTGCTCGCAAGCGAATATTACTTTGTGAATTACCTCCTGGTCAGCCAATCAGCGTGCGAAAACGGTCATAGCGTTTTATAACACTTTTCAACTACAAAATCTGTTTGATTAATTGGCAAGTACAACTAATCTACAAGCGGTTCTGCTTTTCGACGAAGTGCCTCACTCCCAAAGTTCCATACGGCGCCCTAACATTCATTTGTTTTGTTGTTGGTGGTTTTATTTTTTTGTTTTTTTTTTGTTTTTTATTTCAAGTCTAGTAGTTCAACATTTAATCAGTCTTGTCTTAATTAAAAACAATGTAACTTCGTTGTAGATTCTTTTGGTTACACTCAAAGCTGCGGCACCCAGCGTGCTACGTTTTACCGTGTGCGGTTCATTATTGTACTTTGGTTTTCTCTTCTGTGGTTGGATCGTTTTAGGACCTTATCATGAGAAGGTATGTCACGAATTATTTTCCTCGCAGTGAGTGCGATATCGGTTTTTCAAGTGTTACTTAACACGGAATTCACAAGTCAGGATTTTCCTTGAATTGCATAATTGAATAAAAATAAAAAATGAAATGAAAACAGCAATGATACTGGTTTCATCCTGAGCGCAAAGCATAAGATACAAAACAATATCATTTAGCCTCGTTTTCAACTCGCAATTCCACGCTTAATACCTCGCTTCGTTAACCAATCAGGATACAGGATTTTAATCAATTTTATGTTTCTATATTAACTATTAAGCATCATGGAAATATGAAATTTTCAATTGCCCTGTCATGTTTCACCCTCTCCATTTTTCTCAGTTTCGCAACTTGTGGACCGTATCAGAATGCATGTTCTCGTTGATCAATGGAGACGACATGTTCATGACGTTTGCTGAGATGGATCGAAAGAGTTACGCCGCCTGGGTATTCAGCAAGATTTACCTTTACACCTTCATCTCGTTGTTCATTTACGTGGTCCTCAGTTTGTTCATTGGTATCATCAGCGATACATACGAGAGAATGAAGGTAAGAACGAATACGTTACTCATTCTTGGTGCTGCCAAAAAAAAAAAAATAAATAAAGCCTGTATAAAGAGCTAAGTGACCCATCAGGTCTGCGCTAAGCTACGGTTTCCGTTGCATGAAGCGATGAGGAGTATTTCTACTCTCCCCTGTATGGGATGTGGGATGTTAGTCCATCGCAGGGTTACCCCCAGCATTAGATTTGCCGGTACCTACCTAAACACCTGGGTGAAAAGAGGAATCGGGAGAGTAACGTGTCTTCCCCAACAACACAACACAATGTCCTCGGCTAGGGCTCAAATCGTCGCTCCGCTAGGTTGCGACTACTAGAGGACGTGTTGGGGAGTATGCATGAAGTATAGAGAAGGAGATCTGAAGCAAAAACCAGCCCTTTCGAAACTATCAGCCTTTATTCTTTCGTTTATAATACTATTGTAATGCGTGTGATTTTAAGAACTAAACGGTGAGTATGAGCACTGACAAAGACATTTACAAGTATTCATGGGAAGGGGATCTGAAGCTGGCATTGGGTGACCTGTGCAGTCAGTGGGCGTTCGAAGTCCTTAACTCGTTGTACTCAGCCGCCGGTTTTTTTTTGTTTTTTTTTTGTTTTTTTTGTTTTTTTTTGTTTTTTGACAATATTTTCCTATATCCCTACACGTATTATGCATTCAGCTCTTCCACGGATAAAGAAAGTAATGGCGAAAATAACAAATTGCCATTGAGACTACGGCTTTGTTTTAGAATAGCATGGGGTTTCTCAAGATTCTCTCTTGTTTTTCAAGTGTGGGATTTGGCCGATTAAAGCCTACTTTTCCAAAGGCAAACGTATATATCAGTGTGAAACAACCCTTTTCAACGACTGATTTTGGAAAGCTTATTTTGACCCCTCTTACAAACAACCTAACTTTACGATCCTGACCAGTCACAACTGACGAGGATGAAATGAGTCATATAGGCAATGACGATACGGCAAAACCGATCAATCAGTGTTTTCGAACCAGACTTGAAAGATCCGACCATTAAAAAAAACCCTTACTTTTATAATGTCAGGCACTGGAAATAACAACATTTCAGACTTCCGAGAGTCAAGTAATTAATTTTCACCCTTTCTAAACGTCATCTCTTTCAGGATTGGGGCCACCCTCCTTGGACGAAGCTACAGCGATTCGTGCATGGTAGTAACTGCCAGCGGTGTAACACAGAATACAGAGATCAAGCTGGAGAGAACGATGATTTAACAGGGGGAACATCAGACTAGGATCTCACTAGTTCAAACACATAAAAACAACAAAATCAAATTTACGAAATGATGTACATAGTATTGACAAGAAGCATGGCTTTTATTGGAATCTAATTTGATGTATCAATTTTACAGTGACCCAAATTAAGTTATATTTTTTTTCTAAGGAATCGTTGTTGACAATCCCCTTTCTGCCTGTTCAGCCCTGGTGTAAAAGATAAACAATTTTGATTGGAAATTGTTTTATCCAAAAAGTACAAATAATCTGTTTCGGATGTCATATGAAATATTTTATGGTAGCCAAAAGTTCAGAATACATCCTATTCCAGGCGTTAAATCAAGCAGAGGCAGAGAAGGATCGCTCTCTCTTTGTTAACAAAGTAAATATGAAAGCAGGAACAAATAATTAAAGGGGATTCTTATTTCTGTTTGCAATTTTTTTCTTACCAAATAAAATTTTCAGACAGAAACTTAACCACATCTTCGAGGTTTGCAGATTATTTTTCTCATGTTTGTTGGTCGTTACGGTGAAAACAAAATTTATAGAAAAAAAAACAGCCACTTGTCGAAATTGCTTGTTTGTTGTTGTTGTTGTTGTTTTAATATTCCAGGTAAAGTTGGCGGGGTTCAAATGCACATATTTTTTTTTCCAAAACTCGCTGGCCCAATTCGGTTGTTCATCGACTCGAATTCGAATTCCCGATATTTACCTTTTGACTTGCTTATTTCTTTATTAGTAGATACTTTTTAAATTTACATGCACTTGTCGAACTGTCTAAAGAAACAGAATCGTGCTGATTGACTAGAAAGACCAGTATGCGACTCCTCACATAACCACTAAGACAAGTTGATAAGTTGTGTCAGTACACATTATGTCGTGAATGGTCAAAGCTGTTTGCTACACTCGAGACCGAAAAGGATATTTACAAAATGACGCTACCAGTAACATACCGAAACAACTCGACTGAAATTCCCACGATTAAAACTGTACCCCCCTGGGTGCACCACAGAATATATCAGCTGGCCCGGCTGAACGATGGTTAGCAGATGTCAAATTTCATATCAACGCTTCGTAGAGTTGTCACGGAGGGAGCGTTGTCTTGGGTACTAAGACGAGATAAATGGGGCCTAACTCCCTCCTTCGATAGTTTGACCCACAATCGAGTTATCGACGTGGAGCTCCCGCGGTGTGCTCGCCTCGATTGATTCTTTTGGACTCGCGCGACGGACCTCGCCGAAAAGGAGGGAGTGCTCATTGTCAAATCAATGTGGAACTCGACTGAAGAGAAGACTCTACGGCACTGTAATTTTAAGTTGAAAATTATGTTCCACTGTTTTTCAAACAACGCTTGAAATAGCGGCACAAAGACCTCATTCTTTCTTTTATTTCTCATTTTTTTTTATTTCTCATTTTTTTTTATTTCTCATTTTTTTTATTTCTCATTCTTTCTTTTTATTTCTAATTTTTCTATCCTCTTCCTTCTTTTAACTTAATTTTTATTTATTTATTTATTTACTTATTTCTCTTTTCCCTTTGTTTACAATATTAATAGTGTATAAATACCTTGGTCAGTAGTGTAAATATAGAATTAAAGTAAAGTAAGTCTTGTGTAAATGTTAAGATACACTAGTTAATTTCACGTGACAGTGGCCAACTCGAAAGCTTACGCTCCTTTGGGCACTGTGCACATTTTACTTGAGACTATTCATGTAATTTACTGTTCTTATATATTCTGACTTTTGTAATCTATAGCAATCTCTACTGTACCCTCTTGAAATAGTGCGAATAAATACATGAAAATGAAATGAAATGAAACTCGATCCCACTCGAGCTAAGGTCTAGTTCTTCAAAAGACAATTTTAAAAAACGTTTTAAAACGTTTCGTTTTAAACAAGTTTCTTTTAAACTTTTACTTTTTAGATGAAAAATATGTTTAATCATCTTAGAATTTTAACTTAGTTTATTCCTATAATTTTTTTCCGTTCTTTCCATTCTTTTAGCTTTTTAATAATCTAAATGTAAAACGCCGTGAACAATTAGTGGAGTAGGTGCCATATAAATATTTTAATCTATTTATTCATTGTAATTAGTTCAGAACCTGAATGATGAATAAGTTTCCTATTTCTCAAGTGTACTCCGGTTCAACTTACGATTCTTAGCCAGAGTTATACGTTTCTAAAGGCGACACCTTTCGACCGGAAATGGTAAAATCAATTGAAACTTTCCGTCGTCGATCAACTGTTAACCTAATTGGTCTGCCCTTTGGTCCGCCTACGCAACGCCCTCCTACACGCCTCTCTCTAGGAGCGCGTAGACTGGAGACGGCTCTACTTTTCCCGCCGACTTCATATTATTCAACATGGCGGAAACAGAGGAGCCCTCAGCGGACATTACAGAAGTTGGCTCGCAACTTGAAGAAAATCCAGCGATCCAGGATGAAGATCAGCGAACGAGAATGACACAGTTTCCTCAGACTAGAATTCGCAACATGATGAAGATCGACCCAGACCTTCATTTGGCCAACAGAGAGTCTGTATTTCTTCTTACGAGAGCCGCCGTGAGTGTCTTTTCACACCTTCGTTTTAGTTCACTTTAGTTTAAGTCGGCTTAGAGTCGACCTTGTAGGTGCGAGGTTCTGATTAACGCTTGGTTTTCAGGGATCTCGATCTCTGTTTAACAGGTGGATGCCGAAATTATGTATACAGTGAATGATGGTGTTATGATCGAATGGAGTCCTTCAAGAAGACTGTAGGCATAACGTATTTAAACTGAACTACCTACTGCACCATTCATTTGCAACCATGATGTACACACTTCCCTATTGGTGCTAAAATGAGGCTGATGATAACCATCATGTGCAGAAATTTGTTAAACTGTAGGTGTGATTTGGAAAGAAATCTTGCACAGATGGTGGAAGGAATTAAGCCTGAGTTGGTGTTTGTGTGGGGGTGGAGGGGGGAAGCTGTTAAAACCGTGGGTAGGGTGAGTAGCATCAGTTTTTGCCAAACCCCTACCCTTCTTTAGACCAAAATACATGTTGCTCACTACAATGTTGTAGGTTTGAATTAAGGTTCAACCTTACATCAGACAAAAAGACGTTTTTAAAAACTTTAACATGTACATAACAAAAACTGGACACAAATTTTTAACCAAGTATCTCTTCGATGTCATGGTTTTAAATTATTTTGACACTTTCAACATTATAGGAACTGTTTGTTGATCATGTTGCCAAAGAAGCATACAAAAGAACAATTATGGGAAAGAGAAAAACAATACAGAAAAAGGACCTAGGTAAGAGTACACAAGAAATGATTAAAAATAACCCTCTAGTTCACAGAAGTGATTGACATGTATCTTCTCATTGTAATTCACATATGTTATCCTGCAACAGGTTCTGAGAACAGATATAATAATCAGCTAGCAAGTGTTATGTTGATTTAACACAAAATTCTGTTGTCTAATGTGCAAGGATATACATATGATGCACGATCCTCGCAGTAGATATGCAAGGATATGTTAGGCGGTATATAGAGGGTTGATGTAGACAATAATTTGAGCTGATGAAGACGTGTTTTTTTAAATGAGAGAATGGAAACACACAGAAAGATTCCTTTGATGCTAAGAAAGCATTTTTACATAACCTTTTACAGATACTGTGGTTGATGAAAATGAAGAAATGGCATTTCTTGAGGGTAAGTACCGGTAATTTATTAAAAGTTTATAAGCTAAGTGGTTTACTGGATATTTTTTTATATATATATATATTTTTTTATGGAACACTAGCAACCAACTGACTGTACATCAACTGCTAAAATTAACAATAATAGTTGATAGAACATTCTGAAAAAAATTTATTTTTCCAGAACTCAAAAAGTGCTCTTAACTGTACATACCTTGTTTCAAGTTTTCTTAAATCAATGTCAATAAAACATATCTTGTCTCACCATTCAGGTCACTTATAGTTTGTTTGTTTACTTTTCTTTTCATGTGTAGGTACCTTGGACTAATCTTTGTGACTGATCTTGCAAATCAGCTGTTACTGAACACTGAATATCAGGTAGCAGTTAAGTTTAAAAAAAAAAATAAAAAAAAAAGGATCATGCAGCAGTTTTGTGATTACTTTGTCAACCTGAGAATGAAGAAATGGAGGGAGATGCTTTACCTTCTGTAGTATGGCTTAGGGCTCCAAAGTGTAACCTTTTCTTTTAATCAACATTCATTCTTATGAAAACTTAACTGCTGTGTTTGTATCAACTGGCAAGACTAGCTAACAGAGTTTGGACTACCAGTAGTCTGAGACCTTTGGAAAGTTGATGGCTCATGCCAAACAATTTTCATGAAAAAATTGTATCTTGTGCGACTGTTGCAGTTCAACAGTCATACGAAATGCCTGGCTCTTATTACAGTCAGTAATTGACCAGCAACTCTTAGTTCTGGTGAGACACTGTGTATGCTAGTGAAAACTTGAATTTTCTTTCATTGATAAAAAGCAATCAATGCATACCTAGTACCATATTGTTCAGACATACTGAGTTTTCTTATAAAATTTTGTAAATAATGTAATTTTGATGTTTGCCATGACATGAAAATGTAATAAAGAAGTACATTTTGTGCTTTTCTCCTACTTTAAAAAACAATGTTTTAGGGTACCAGATTGCACCTAAAACATTACTACCAGTATTCTTCAATTGACAAAACTGACCAGATCAAAAAAAAAAATCATACATCCCAATACTAATCATTCATCAGTTTCTTTAGTTTACCGATAAAAATTGAAAATCCCCATAAACAGTTTAAGCAAAGCAAGCACCAACACTTTTCTTACAAAACCACACATTCCTTTGATGGAAAATTACACAGTCATGGCCTAAGTCAACTGCTGTCATTGCAGACTATAGAGTGCCTAGGAAGTTTAAGCTAAACTTGTCCTCACTGTATTACATGCCAAGCTTTCCCAGTGTTAGTGCCTCATGAAGCATATTTTTCAGTGGTGGTGTTGGGGGGAGGGGTGGGGGTAAAGGCAATGCTGAAGGGCTTGTTTATAAAGGAGCATGTCATTTATATCGAGGCTCCCACGCGCGCTTTGCGTGTGTAGGACAGAGCCCCATACCCATGGAATATGGTCAACCTCTTTTCGTTTGGTTGTCACGTGACTGACCGAGCGTACAATATGTAGCTATGTGCCCTCAGATTGCATGGGTAGCGTAGGGGAGACTATCAAAACGAAGGGAGGGGTGACTCAGGTGAGTCTTGGTAAATGTACATCTGTTATGTTATCATTAATATTACGAACTTGGGAGCTCTGCTAATTTAGGCTTGGCTAAATCTATATATTACTTTTTACCTGAAGCATGGTTGATTTTTTTCCCGTGAATCGTGATTTTACCTTTTTTATTCGTAAACTGTGATCGAAGATAAAAAGATATTTTCATGTCCGCGTGAACGATTTTTTTTTTAAACGTGGACGTGAAAGAGATTTATGGATATTATATTATTCAGTTGTAATGCGTGGGAATTAAGGCCATATATTTTTACGTGACTATGTCTTGCAAAGCGGTTTAAGGGACCCTCATTCATCTTGTCACACGCGTAAGACAAAGAAAAATCTCCTGATGGTCCTTAGTTTTCATCATGTCCTTAGAACCCTGGACTTCAGATTGCGTGCTGATTTTTCTCTTCAATCTTATCTTTTTTCACGTACTGCGCAAATGCGGAGCAATTAAGCTAATTTTTTTGTCTCGCTGATCACGCTAGAGCAGGGGAATTAATCGATTTAATTTACTTCGCTACGTGAAATTGTTGACCCAAATCTATCCGCCTCAAAAGGGCATTTGAATATGAATTGTTATATACATATATATCTTGTCCATTCTCTTTCGAAGATTTTCCCCGTGTTTCTGGTTCTCGAGAGAACTCGCGCGAACATTTAGAGGGAAACATTCAATTAGACGGCATATTTACCCTAGAAGTGTTTATCTCGAAATTAAACAGTCTTCATTAAGTACTTGACGATCCGAAGAACCTTTGCACACGTGCTTTTGAAGAGCTAGTGTGTGTAAATTCCGTCCTTTGTTTCCGTGCATGATGAATTCATGTCGCGGAAGCCATGTCCATATTTGCAGAAATGCACTTTCCATATTTGTCGATGGCTCCCATAACCAGAATTCGCGTCGTAAGAGGTTCATTTCTGGCTAAGGACAACCTCAGTTGCCCAAGGCTACCTCACGTATGTAACAAAACCGAGGAGCCTTTCAAAATTGATTTGTGTTTTTCAAAATCTTACTTTGAATCATGTACCGAACAGCTTTTCGCGCGGGAAAGCGTTTGTATGCGAGCAGTTTATGGAAGGCAATCGACAGTGATTTTACTGCGAAGTCTACGGGTAGAACGATCAAAGCTTCGCTGATGGTGGCGCGATGTTCTTCAAGTTCAATTCAGAAATTCAGTTTAAGCGAGATTACTCCATCTTCAGATGCATTTTGTCGTCGACACATAGGACCCGATGCCGAGGAGGAAAAAGAGATGCTTCGAACACTCAACTTACAGGTAGAAATACCACAAAGGCAGTTTCGCGCCGGCGTTTTTTTCTCTTTCGCCTGGAGCATAATTACTTTGATGTTTATTAATATAACGAAGTTCAGTGTTTAACACTTCACAATATTTTTCAGAACATAGATGAGCTGATCGACAAAACTTTGCCATCCGCAATCAAATACACCAGAACCCTTGAAATGGACGAAGCTCTAAGTAAGTAATACGACCACATGCAGGCAAGTTTCGCGTAAAATACCGCGATGTCGATTTGTTTTTTTGTGCTTCAATTATTCAAGTCGTGAACTGTTTTTCTAAAGATTCCCTAACATTCCCTACCAAACTACTGTATGCCACATCTTGTTAAAAGATATCTCATAAAACGTTATTGTCGTTATTGTACGGTTGTCGTGAAATATTGGGCGCGTTGTCTTTCCGTTTTTACTCAAATTAACTCACGTGAAAGTAAAATTCTGGACTTGCCCATGCAAATCTTGACACTTTGTAAAATAAAAATGAGTATTAGGTCGAGGAAAACGGTCACTGTGGTGTTATATCCGCGATGGACTTACTAACTTTTCTCGTCGGAGATGAAATTAAATTTTGACGCAGTTAAAATGAAACTTATACGATTTGGTTCGCAGTTTGTTCGTCACGCCAATGTCAACAGAGGCGATTTGGTCACGGCGTGTGACCATTTGCAACCCTGAATTGTTTGGTGCGGAAGGATTGTCATCAAAATATTTTTGAATTTTTTTCTGCCTTAGCTAGAGACGTCTAAACCCAACGAATTCTCAAGAGACAGAAATAGGGACGGACAGAAATTAATAAAGCGAAGCGAAGAAATTAATATTGAAGGCTTTCGTGCAAAAAAAGGGAATACATCGCTAATTTACAGTCCGTGAAACCGCAACACGCAAGCTCTTTTGGCAAATTTTTGTTGATAGTGTAAAAATAGATTATGAACGTCAAGTTCTTAATTCTTAATATGAGTTGAGGCAAACAGAGTTGGACGGAATATTTTTTTAAATTTTCATTTATTTCCACACATTCATGTATTTTATTTTGTTCACTCTTTGTGTGACTTATTCTTATCATAATTTTTAATGCCATGCAGACATGCAAAATTTGCTGAGAATCTCAAAGTCAACAAGATAATTTTTTTGGAAAAGTAGAAGTCAATAAAGCGTGCATATATTTAAAACGGCTAGAAAGAGAACATACTTCTAAGTCTGTTGTGAATGGCATCCATTGTTCAATGCAATGTACAGAACCATCAAAATGGAATCTTGGACAGTTTAATGACAGTTTAATGATATATTACAATATTGCAAAAAATATGCACTGCCCGCAGTTAGCAAAGGCTAGCCGAGGCGGGCAGTATTTAATACGTATAATATAAAATAAAAAGATTTACAGAGGAAGAGATTCAAAATTCTAGACAAATTACAACCACATTTAATTTAATATATTTAAGATACGGCAAGAAAACAGAACAAGCTGGGGTCTTATAGTTGTGCTATTAAAGTAGACAAATCAATATAATCGTCATATTTTTCGAGTCTCTGGAGGAGGAAATCATGAATTTTACTCTCAAAATTGTATTTTGATAGCTGGTGCACTTCACAAGACAAGCTAATATACCAGATTCTAACACCATTTCTTGAAAATTCAAGAAATGGTGATCTTTTTTGGATAGAACTATTGCAAACCTTCTAAAAGACCTCATTAAAGGCTTGGGGTTTCCAATTTGCCCCTGCCTAAACCCTGCCCCATTTCAAGTAAAACACTGTGAAAATATTAAGGGGTCGTACCATAGTTTGGTCATCTAGGTTGGTTAACAGTGCTAAAAACACCTTTACTTGAAAACTTGTATTAGTTACTATTTCTAAAATTGTAGGTTTGTAATCAAATCAAGCTCATTTAGAATGAAGTATTCATTTGAGCTGTGTAGCAGTTGAGATGAAAAATGATGTATCAGAATGAAATGTCTCTCAACTAGTTTTTTAATTAGGTCCCCCTCTAATTAATCCTGTCTGTACACCCTGGAAAAAAATTTAGCCCTAGCTCATCTACTGAATGGCAAACCTTAAAAATTCCTTTTTTTTTTTTTCTTTTTTAATTAGAACTAGCAGTCATGTCATGAATCCAATAGTACAAAACTGCGAGGCCTAGCTCCCTTAAAGTGCTTGCCACAACTTGATATTAATTCTGTTCTGGTACTGCTATTCAGGTGAACCAGATCTCTTGGAGAAGTTACGACAATTAGCAAAACACAATCAGATCTGGAGGTCATATATTGGCATGGGATACCATAACTGTCACGTACCAACTACAATCTTGAGAAATATTTTGGAAAATCCTGGCTGGTATGTTTTTTTTTTTATCTTGGAATTAATATTTCATCACACAAACTGCAGTTAATTTGGCATGCTTAGATTGACAAATTAGACTCCTGCTTTGGGGGCATCTGATTTTGTTTAATCACTTGTACAGGTATGATTACGGACTGTACTGGATTCACTTGGTCCTATTACCATAATGATTACAAATAAAATGCTACATCTACAGTTATCATTAAAGATTTAGAAATGCAAAGACTAGCAAAAACTAGCAATAAAAACCGACATTTCGGTGTCATCATGACGCCATTGTCAAGGAGAAATAAAAATAAAGTTTGTGGCAAGGGGTAACACTAAATTAGCATAAATATGTTACGAGCTAATTAAACAAATACTTTTTGTTTCATATGTTTGTTGTTGTTTAAACAAATACTTTTGCACGAATTGAATCGCTTTGCACGTTCAGTTGTACATGTAATATAGTTACTGAAGCCAATTAAAAGTCAGTCAACAGAATTCATTTAAATTATGAATTCCTGGACACATTTCCATCTAATTTTCTTTTGTTAAAACACTCTAACAATTGGCATTTTTTTTCCTTTTTTGTATTTAAATGGGAAATGAGGAGGATAATTAGAGAACTCTTAAATGTTCAGCCCCTGTTATTATTCAATAGCTGGATTTTCATATGTCATTAGTTTGTAAACCTTGACTCCTGAAGGTACACATCGTATACCCCATACCAACCTGAACTGGCTCAAGGAAGATTGGAGTCCCTGTTGAATTTCCAGACAGTGGTCAGTGACCTCACAGGGCTGGATATTGCCAATGCATCACTACTGGATGAAGCAACGGCTGCTGCAGAGGCTATGGCACTTTGTTACAGGTAACTACCAATGTCTGTTTTTTTTTTTTTTTTTTCTCAATGATTTTTAGTTAAGAGACAGATTTTTGTTTCATCTTCAATTACATTTCAGTACTTTGTGTAGTACATGAGGAAGCTTGTATCCCACATTCATCAAACCAGATTAACAATGATAATAAAATGGGCTATAAGCCTAGATTATGATCTTTGTGGATACCAATTTCTTTGGACCCGTATATCCAACTTTTGCAATTTTTTCCCTATTTGACAAAGTCAAAAGGAATAATTTGCAACGTTTTTGACAAACATAAGAATCAGTTCAAGAGAAGTTTTTAATTAATAGCTGTATCAGCAATTCAAATGGTGTATAGATTTTATCTGTTGAATTAGACAAAAATGAAAATTGCTTTTGCAAAAAAGTGATGGTGTGAAGATTTCTTTATTTCCTGTTTCAGCATCTTAAACCTTGACTTAAACCTCTTGAAATTCAACCTCAACCTCCAGATCAAGGATCTAGTTTTTAGGGACAGGCAGTCAACTTAATTTTGAACAGTACTTTAACTACCACACAGTATTAGCATTACAACCAGCAAACTGTCAAATAAACTGGACAAAATTTCATTTCATTTCATCAAGGGTGATCGACTAGCATCCTATGCAGTGGGAGGGGCACATTAACTCCCTTCACTGTGAGGTTGCTTTGAAAACCCCAGATAATTTCCAGCTGTTTGACTGCCATTGGGTCTCACGCAAGTAGAAGATTGTATTATTTGATTGACATAAGCTATGCTCTCTTATAAATTACATATGAGAACCTGCATGTGCTCTTTTGTGCTTTAGGCATAACAAGAAGCCTAAGTTTTTTGTGGATAAGAATTGTCATCCTCAGACTATTTCCGTTGTGCAGACTAGAGCAAGGTTAGTCCAAGTGATTTATTAAATATATTTATTCTTTAATTAGCTAGAAATGTAATTCTAAATTTGTTTATTTCTCATCAAATTTTAAGCTTCTTTGGTTAGTGTCATAGAAAGGTTTCACTGGCAGCTTAAATGACAGTACATATGGATCAAAACTGATCAATCATGACTAATTTATGCCACTCAAGTCCAATTGGCAGTAACTCATCTAAACTGACCAATCAGTTATTTACACAAACAGGACTTAATACACTCAACTGAAAATAACTCTTCACTCGACTTTGATAACAGGTTCTCCGAATTGCTCATGTTGTTGAAACAGCAGTCAATACTACCTAAAACAGTCCTTCTCAGAGGCTTTTCTCACACAGACAATCAGACTACAAAATCACATAACAATTATTGTCAATTAAAATGAAAATCAGCTTCAACCATTCAACAACAACCACCTCCTCAAATCTTGTGGAATTTTAAACCAGTGACAATACTTTTCAAATATTTTGTTAGATTAAATGATTACTTTTTTTGTCCCTTCCTCTTGCACCCTAGGTCCTGATGGGGAAGGTTTACAAATAATCATTGGTGACAAAGAATCATTTGACTTTTCCAATAAGGATGTCAGTGGAGTACTCTTCCAATATCCAGACAGCAGTGGCAATATTGATGATTTCTCTGAACTGGTGGAAAAAGCTCATGATGTTAAGGTGCATCAAATGTCATGATGTACAATTTGTATTCATGTGTCCAACTTGCACCCCAGGCCAGCTAGGCAGTGGGAGAATAATTGGTGACTTTTGTTGCTCAGAACCTTAGATCCAAAGGGCCTGGTTCAAACCATGATCATTGCAAGGATCAATGTTCCCTGAAAAATGTGGCAAACAAATACCTTAGTCTCTAACTACCTAACTGATCTGTTCACTAAGAGTTTGGATGACCTATGGTATTTCTTTTATTCACTGACAGACAGAGAATATTCTCCTTTTATTTCACATTTATATATTCACATTTTACCTTGTACTATTTTTTGACTTCCACATTTCCAACTGAAATTCCTACAATACACATTTCCTTACCTACAGACACCTGAGCAATCCTTAACAGTAAGGTAACAAGAATTAAGTGGAAATGATCTCTATAAACTAAAGAAATTGAACAAATTCTCCTTGTCAGGAAATATTAAGAGAACAATACAGGGAATGTACGCAGTGACATTAGAGTGTAAAGGGTAAATAAACTTGACATGCACTGGTGAGTTTCTTGCACTAGACTAACAATTCCTGTACGGGGAAAGCAGCAAAACCACAAGTTGGTTTGTGCCACAAATACATTCCTGTACTGCAGTGTAGTAAGTAGGCTGTGGAAGCTTTGAAAGTCAGTCTTGACAGCAGACTTACACTTTGTAATTGACTCCCTTTAGGCATTAGCAGTGTGTGCTACAGATCTTCTTGCCCTCACAATTCTAAGGCCTCCAGGGGAATTTGGTTGTGATATTGCCATAGGATCCACACAAAGATTTGGTGTTCCCCTTGGTGAGTTACTGAATATATATGTCTCTGTTAAAGCTGTAAGTTTCATTTCCACAGAACACATGATCATCTCATTGACTATTTTGATATTAATTTTCAATTTTGATTTGTTTCTTTTCTTACTTATTTTAACTAGAGAAAAATTTTTTTGGGGGAAGTTACACTGTAAATGTCATTATAAACAAGCAATTTTGCTGTTAGTAATACTGTAGCAAGAAAGGAAAAAAAAAAGTCTTTTTATAGGATTACACAATTACTGGTGAACCAGTAGTTTCCATTGTGGTCCTTGCAAACAAATGAAACAAATGGTCTAAATTGAACATAACATCATTAAGAACCCCAACCGGCCCGAGGCAAATCAGTTGGCTATTTACAAGCATGGCCAAGGATCTGAACTCGGGGCTACCGTGAAACAGATCCAGTGGTCAGGGTGGGACTGGAACCCGCGAGCTGCGGATTACAAGTCCGACACTCTAACCACTCAGCCACACTGCCTCCTCAAAAGGAGAGGACAAATAGCTCATTACTTCAGGCATTTTTTTCCTTTCTAGTCCAATAGATCAAAACACATGTGGTAGCCATCTGAATACGAGGCTTTTCCTTTTTTTTTTTAACTTTCTTTATTCAGGTTATGGTGGACCTCATGCAGGCTTCTTTGCTGTGCGCAACAAAGGAAACTTAAATAGAATGATGCCTGGAAGAGTGGTTGGTGTAACCAGGTAAAAAAAATCATTTTGTTAGGGGTTCCTGCTCTTCATTTGTCACCAACATAGTGCTTGACAGTACAGTGCTATTTTAAAAAGACTTCAGTTGAAAGATATATTGGATGACTTTGTCAGAATGTCTGGATCAGCATTCATTAATTGAACACTGATGTCACATACAATTTAATTGTTTTGTAGAGATTCACAGGGGAAAACATGTTATCGATTGGCACTTCAAACACGTGAACAACACATCAGAAGAGAGAAAGCTACCAGCAATATTTGTACAGCTCAGGTATGATAGAGTCATACTACTAATTTACTAGTCTACGAACATATTTAAGTACATTGCACTTCTCACCTCGTGGTATCACTCCACTCAAGTGAATAATAATACCCTTAAATATCAGTCCCACATTGTTATAAGACACCACTTCAGAAGTCCAATTTTTATCCTTCAGAATAATGATTAAAAAAAAATCTGCTTTTCTTTATAGGCCCTTCTTGCCAATATGTCAGCAATGTATGCAGTCTACCATGGGCCAAAGGGATTGAAAAGCATAGCCAGACGGATGCATAATGCAACTCTCTTGTTAGCAGAAGGTATCAATTGAGTATTTTCTTAGATTTTTATAGTTAAATTTGTATATATTCAGTTCTCCTGATAAAATTCACCCTTAAAGAATTTGTCCCTTGCAATCAGTGATAGTTGAGTATGTCTGATTTTGAAATATTAGGGTTGAAACGTGCTGGACACCAAGTAGAGAATGATCTCTTCTTTGACACTTTAAAGGTAAGCTTCAACCTTTGTTAGCTGTTACCTTTTTGTCTAAAATGTATCATAAAGATATGATACTAGTGAGAGGATTAAAACCTTTTTTCGTATCCGTTTTCTTGTTAGGTGACATCTGGCATTGGAGATGTTTCTGACATTCTTGAGAGAGCTAACCAACGACAAATTAATCTGAGAGTGTTTGATGACAAAGCTGTAAGTAACATGGGTTTATGCGGATAATTCATGGTTCTACACTGAAATTTCAGAAAGGTGTAATTGATTAAATATTAAATATGTTTTCCTGGTAGGTTGGTGTATCATTGGATGAGACAGTCAAAGAAAAGGACTTGGTTGATCTTTTGTGGGTGTTTGGCTGTGACAGTTCAGTTGTAAGTATACTACAAATGGTCAAACCTCTTTTCCCAGAGAACTGTTGTTTCAGGGAGTCTGGTCTGTCATGGGCAGTTCATAGATGAGCACAATTCTGTAATTACCAACCAAAATGATCCACTAAGCTGTTTTATGTACCTTGAACAAAGATATTGTATTGGATTTTTCCTGTCAGATAAGAACAGATGTCCTCAATTTTTTTGAGGGCGGGGGGGAAGGGGTGGGGCAGAGGGGGTAGGTAGGAAAAGGAGAAAGAGGAGGTTTTGGGTTTTTGGGTGTCCAAGACTAATCCCTGAGAGGTCAGTTAACTGTAATTTTTTTTCTTCTTTTTTGTGCGGTATTTGAAAATACACTGTTCGGTTGTACCGGGATCCTTTCTTTTTCAAAAAAAAAAAAGTAATTATCCTCTATCCTTGCTATGGACAAAAAGAACTCACGAGTAAGTTCCACCACATGTGCTTGTTAATAAATCAGTGATCTAGAATTACAGCCAGTTAGTTGAGAGGGGCAATAAATCCAGCAATTGAACAGTACCTTATTAAAGCTTTAGCCTTCAAGAGTGACCAGCTTCTAATTTCTCCTTACACTGTCTGCCTTGAATCAAATGTAAAGGTCATAAGAATAAAGGCAATTATCACCAACTAGAGAGGTTCTTGATTGGTGTGTAAATTCTCCTTGTCAACACTTTGGGAAATGTATAGAGATTTTCTATGGAGAATATGCATACTGATGTTAGGGTAAAAAGGGTTAATTCTATCTACTCCTTGCTGGTGTGGACTTAATGAACATTAACATGTTAAAGGCCTTTTTATTACCTTAAATGCTTTTCTCTGTCTTTGTTTTCAGGAATCTTTAGCAGCCAATATGGATGAAGTACCAGAAAAAAGTATTCTTAACAGCACATACAAAAGATTGAGTGACTACTTGACTCACCCTGTTTTTAACAGTTATCACTCCGAGACAAACATTGTTCGATACATGAAGCTTTTGGAAAACAAAGACATTTCCTTGTGCCACTCTATGATTCCTTTGGTATGTAATGTTTCTTTACCTCAATGTGTTTTTCATGGAGGTTTCTTTTCATAATTATTTTTGAGAGTTTATGTTAAATAAAGGCTGAAGTCTGCTTTAAGTTGTTGAAAGACTTTATTTGATTGTTTGTTTGTTTGTTTTAGGGTTCTTGTACAATGAAGCTTAATGCCACAACTGAAATGATGGTAATTTTTGTTCTTTTTTACAAAACATGAAATTGTATCCCTTGTTTTGATGATAATTAATGATTTATGTTGGGTCTCACTAAGTCCCAGAAGTTATTACCAGTAATATGTAAAATATGTAACTTCTTCCTTTGTTATCCATACACATTAGAGCAAGCAGGTAATAAGAATATTGAAACTTATCTGGTAGAATTTGTACCAGATTCTTCACTTATCTTGATCTAACACCAAATTCTCATAACTAATTTACAAGGAAATGTGTAGCAGCTAGAGGGGAGAATTAACCATCAGATCTTGGGAGTTAGGCTTAAAGGCTTTATTTACATTAATTTTGTGGCAAAACATGTATTCCTGGAAGCTTAATTATGATAATCACATTAGTAAGAATTTGTGTAGGTTAGTCATTACAAGTGTTGGTTTTCATCTCACCTAGCCTATCACCTGGCCGAAGTTTGCTGACATCCATCCATAGGCCCCTGTGGAACAAGCCCAAGGTTATCGCCGTCTCTACGAAGAACTGGAGAAAGATTTGTGTGAAATCACTGGCTTTGATGCTGTGTGTTTCCAATCAAACAGGTATGAAAGAACATTTATTTCGATGATTCTGATTCATGCTGGTCGTGAGGAATACAATGAAATCTTTGTAGAGCTCAAGACTAGCTTCTGCCCAGGAATGTAATGAATATATTTTAGAAATTTTAGTGATGAAACTCAGACAACTGTCAAGACTCAAAATATTTCTCGAATGTTGTTGTATTTAGAAGAACAAAGCAATCAATTGCAAGAAAATTAACCCGAACATAATAAGGCAAACTGGCTTGCATTTCTGTGGTTTGCTTATGTGTCCTGAACTTGCATTTGATTGGACCTAACACATATTCAGGGGTTCATGGTTCTTGGGTGCAACAGAAGTTAGGTCAAAGGAATGCATTGGTAACAATTTATGTGATCAGTCTGGGGTTCAACCAAGACACAGCACATGCACTACACACAGTGCCTTGTATAGTTCATGTTGTCTAATGACTAATGTTTGTTTCAGTGGAGCACAAGGTGAGTACACTGGTCTGAGAGCCATCAGAGCTTACCATGAGCACAATGGAGAAGAGAACAGAAAGGTAGGACATTTGTCATTGATACTTCACCACCTGAGCTTTCCTGTATCGAGTTTGCATCAAGGCCAGCCACCAAAATGGACATGGAAAAATGCTAACTGTGGGAATCAATTTAAACAACAGATAACTGCCAAAAAATCCAAAGAAGAGATCCTAATTTGTACATTTTACAATATTCTTTACTGTATGTGAAGTGCAAACTTAGAAATGTATTCAAAATGGAATTTTGTGCATAATTATAGGGGTGTGGGCAGCAGTGATTATGCAACACTTTACATTGTAATTAAAGAGCATTTAACAGAGTCAAGGAAACATTGAAAAACAAGTTGCACTTGCAATAAAAATCATAATCTTAATTTTCCTCACTAGACACGTGTAGTAGACAGCAGCATTTTCCATCAGGAATACTGAGGTCTTACTTCGTTGTCTCATTGAGAATTAGTAGTATATTGGAGTGGGTCACCGTACGTACATATACACCCAAACAATCTATTCCTCCCCTCCCCCCTTCTCACTTTTTAGCTGATGCCTTCCTGCTGATAATAACATCCTTCCTATCGTACCCTTTAGGTATGCCTTATCCCTGTGTCTGCACATGGCACAAACCCTGCAAGTGCTCAAATGGCTGGTTACCAAGTGCAAGTTGTCAAAGTTGAAGATAACGGAAATGTCAGCATGAGTGACTTGAGGATGCAGGTACAAGATTTAAGAGACAATGGTCTCGTGTGTTTATAGAAGTTACATTGAATGTCACTGACGGCGATACGTTGGTGGTTTAACTTTTGGTGGAAATATCGTCATGAAGCAGAACAAATTAAAAGATTCACAGTTATAATTTGGAGAGAAACTGGTGTACTTTATTTTGAATTTGATGTAGAGTAAGCTTCATTTTAGCACTGTTATATGAATATTATACAGAGATCGTAGGAATGAAGGGGTTAAGTTTCCAAGGAAGTTAGATGCTGTGTCTGTCGGGGTATTGCAATATGACTTGGTTTTATCTTCACCACCGTAAACAAATGCAAACCACTGTATAGAGTTACTAAAGCTGACGTGTCGGGCTTTGTTCTGACAAAGGGGCTAACGCTCGAAACGTTAGTTTTAGAATCTCTAAACTAAGATCATACCCGTAATTAACAAAAGAAGAATTATAAAGGAATTACAAGGGTTGAAAACAAAAGCAGGATAGTTGGGGTTTCTTTCACTCAGACTGAAAAATTGACTGGTTTCATCGCCGTAAATTTTGGTCTCACGACTCAAAGTTGTCTGGTGTTCCTTCGTGGTTGTTTTTCGTTCATGCTTGAGAAAGAGGCCTTTTAGATTGAAGAAAACCGACGACTTACCTTTGAAATGACGATTTTGGTTTATCTACTCGCGAGTGGTCATACTGACGCACCTCGCCGTGGGAAGCTGGGAAATACCCGCAAGTCTTGACTTAATATAGCAATAAATTTCATCCAGCTTCTTTGTATTGACAAATGGTAAACACCACAGCGTACGCTATTGAGTTATGGATGCACGCGGGAGGTTGCTAAGCACGAAAGAAGCGTAAGAGTCGCTCGAGGCGATAGCCGAGAGCGACTCTGGCTTCTTAAGTGCTTAGCAAACCTCCCAAGTGCATCCATAACTCAATAGTGTACGCTGTGGTGTTTACCATTTGTTTTATAACATAACATTGATACATTGTAGCTAAAGAGTTCCCTTTTATGTAACCAATAATAAACATGAAAACATTTCTCAGTTCTGATTGGTTAAGATGAAAGCAGTTTTCAGTTAATTCAGTGCAGAAGAGAGTTAATTCAGTGCAGAAGAGTTAATTCAGTGCAAAGAAAGAAACAAACCAGACATTCTGATTGGTCAGAATGATTGGTCAATGTCAATGTCAAGGTCAATGTCAAGGTCAATGTCACTTGCAGGGTTTGAATAAATTATTTTTGCACGTGATGCGCGCGCTTTTCTTCTGCGTAGTAATGAGAAGCTACCTCGTATTTTTTCATGTATATTATTAATAGATAATCGCATGATTTTCTCGTGCAATTTGGAATAAATAAGCACTTGTAAATTTTTTCAAAGACCACAAATTGCACTCGACCTACGGGCTCATGCAATTTTGTTAGTCTTTGAAAAAATTTACTCGTGCTTATTTATTCCAAATTGCACTCGAAATCATGCGATTACCTGTACAAATCTTACGTGACCAGCAAAAAACAAGCGCGCGCGGAAAAATAGTCTTTGCATTTGCTCAAGTCAGCAGCGTACACCCATGGGCAAATGGGGGACGCTAAATTGACCAATCAGAGCGCGTGCTTTACTTTGGTTATGTTATAAATTTATTTCGATTTTATTGTAGCAGAATCATTACTGATATTAAAGAAGTGGCTTGTATGTATCGTGTATGTTCGCGAAACAGAGCAGTGAAAGAATTGTCTCTAAGTAACCTTGTTTAATACGAATGATTAACGCTTTGACTCCAAATATGTCTTGTCAGGTTGAGAAGCACAGCAAAGATTTAGCCGCCATCATGGTAACATATCCTTCAACTAATGGAGTCTTTGAAGAAGGAATCAGGTAGGTGCAGACCATTTTCATATTCATAAACTTTTGAAGTGTTGGGTTTAACAACCGTGGCAAAGTGTTACAATGGACATTTGCCGAACTAAGTTAGGAATGAGAAATCTATTTATGTTTGCCCTCAATTATATATCTTCTTCCTGGTTATTATCTTGATTGGGTAAGTTTGAGGGTGGGTCTGGTCAGGGGAGAGGGTTTGGGTAGGACAGTAGATCACGGAGGGTGGGACGGCTGCAACAAATTAGTTTTGCAACCCCTCTTCGAGACACCATTGAGAATTCCTCTTCTAGCTTGGTTGTTTTAAATTTGATAGGGACATTTGTGACTTGGTACATGAGCATGGTGGACAAGTCTATCTCGATGGCGCAAACTTGAACGCTCAGGTTTGTTTGTAATAATTTTTTTATTGTATTTTTGACTCCCTCTGAACAGAAGATGGAACAAACCCTGAGTTGTGATTGACTTCTCAGGGAGACCCATCTTGCCTGACTTGCTTCCACGAAAAAGAGCTTGAAGCCCCGGATCTCGTCTAAATAACTTCCTTTATTTACTGCGCTTTCTCAGCTTAGTCGAAGGGCAGATCGTAGACGCCAAAATGAACATAATAATGTGTCAACGGGATGAAACAAATACGCATTAACGTCGGCTAGAGAACGAATACAAGTCGACAAGGTGGCTTGGTTCGATTGGGGCAAGATGTATATTAGATCATGATAGGCTATTTTTTTCTCCTTGCATCTTCTGTGTTTGAAATTAACTTCTACCATTTGTTGTGTTAGGTTGGAATCTGCCGGCCAGCGGATTACGGCGCAGATGTTATGCACACCAATCTCCACAAAACCTTCTGTATTCCCCACGGGGGTGGGGGACCTGGTATGGGACCTATTGGAGTGTAAGTGATCTCACTATTCTTGGATTTTTCTCAAAACGAATCAAGACTTCTGGAATTTTTTTTAAATGGCAGTAACTAGCTCTCCGTATAGTGTCTGCAGCGGAAGTATTTTCTAAGTGGGATTGTCTGTTGATTGTCGTAGTTTGCTCATCTGTAAATTCTAGATAGTGGAAAAGTAAACCGGATAATGAGGAACACATTGATCGAGTTGGCCATAAACTCCTCTAAAGATACTAAACCGGGTGAATATTACTTTCGCTTCCAAGTTTCACCGTTTATTAAATGTATCCACAGGAAAAAGCATCTGATTCCGTTCTTGCCTTCCCACCCCGTCGTTGCACCTCAGAGTTCCAGAGGTGAACGTACCCATCCATTTGGAGTCATCTCAGCCGCTCCATATGGGTCCAGTGCTATTTTACCCATCTCCTGGTCGTACATCAAACTTATGGGCCCCAAAGGACTCGCACATGCAACTAAGGTTAGAATCATTTTTTTTTTTCTTTATTTTTTACTATTATTCAGAAAATTTCAAGTAATGAATTAGATATTTCCTCAAAGTGGAGCCATCTACATGTAATCAGTATGACGTACTGTTGGACCAGTTTTCTTATGGCATGGTTTAATTTGTTTGTAACAACGTCAACTAGGATAGCATGACATTGTCCTCTCTGTAGATTATCATTTTTGTGACTTTTTTTTGTCTTTTTCTTTTTATAGATTGCTATCTTGAACGCAAACTACATGGCCGCCAGACTGAAGGATCACTATGATGTTCTGTTCATCGGAAAAGACGGTAATGTCGCTTTGGATTTGGATAGCGGATTGGAAATATTGTGGGTCTTTCCCTCAGGGAACTCTCTCGGGTCTGGAAAAAATGTCCCCTGAAAAAATATGTCCTTTCATGAAGGCCTAATGTCAATGGAACTTAAGTTTGTGTCCTTGCAAAGAAGTGTCTAAAAGGTCTTTGTTTCACTGTCGGTAACTTTCAAACGTTTCTTAACATTTTTTTTTTTATTCCAGGTTATTGTGCCCATGAGTTTATTGTTGACGCCAAAGATTTTAAGAAATTTGGTATCGAAGCAATTGACATTGCCAAGAGGCTTCAGGATTATGGTAAGAACATTTGACGACTATTTGGATGAACAAATAGACCCAAGGAAAAATGAAATCATCTTTCACGTCTAAAACATAAGGGGAACCAATAATACTGCGAAGCATTATGCTTGTTGCGTGTTAAAACGAGGTTCTGATAAAAAGCGCGGGAAAATTAGTAACGGGTGCCAAGTGCGGGAAAACATGTAATCGCTGCCATAGCGAGAAAGAGTTTACTGAGGGAGCTGTGATTGGTCAGAGGTGATGAAGTTATTTCATTTTACGAAGCAATGTTAAAACTGCTCTTTTGAATGGAGATAACAAGGCTTATTCAATTTTTCAATTTCACTGCAGGTTTTCATGCACCCACAGTATCTTGGCCTGTGAGCACCGCCCTGATGATCGAGCCCACAGAGAGCGAAAGCAAAGCTGAGCTGGACAGACTCTGCGATTCACTCATAAGTATGTAAATTCAACGCATTTTTTTAGAGTAAATATGAATTTTTTGGGAGCACTGTTTTGTCATCAGTTATTTCATCCAAAGAGTCGACTCGTCAGCAGATGAGGCCACTTGACCTTGAAATACATTCATGGCCAGTTTTGCTTTCCTTTATTACTGTTTTCCTCCCAGCTCCCCTCTGGACGTCTCATATAGGGAGGCAAGTTTACTTTACAAGATAGCGATAGTCTTTCCATTTCACTACTGTTCGTCCGAAGTAGCCTGCAGTACAGGCGTCTTATTAGGGCGAGTTAACGATATAAACTTGAAATCTTTTATCCGAACGCATTGTTTCATTTGGAGTCAGAGTGAATGGTAAGGGACTAGGGGCGAGGGAAGGGCGAGAACATTCACTCTCCCCAACCGAGTCCCTCTCCTTATTTTTGACCGTCACTCCTTTTCTTTATCCATGTCTTCATAGTTTTTTTCATTTGACTTTTATGGGATAATGACAAAGAATTTGTATTTTTTTAACCTGCAGTGATCCGCGAAGAAATCCGTTTCGTAGAAGAAGGTCTGATAGATAAGGCGAATAACCCAATAAAGGTACATCTTGTATTAAATCAAACAAAAGTAGAGCTCTTCCTCCATGATGTCGAAAGAGAGCCGAACTACTATGAACGATTTCTTGACTTGTCTTTTAACAATTCACGGACAAGTTCTTTCGTGAAGATGCTCCTTTGAAGAACGATTGGTATAATCTTAATTTCAATTGTTTGCAGAATGCCCCTCATACGCAGGATGTAGTCACAGCAGATGTATGGGACAGCCCTTACAGTAGAGAAGTCGCTGCCTTCCCCGCTGTGAGTACAGAAAGTTAAATTGTTACAACTTTACTTTCATTTCATGCAAATTTTTCGACGCTGCACTTGACGCAAACTTGGTTGCTCCATGACTTGTCACGCTTCTTTGTGCCGCAGCATTTCTCACCTCAGTAATTTTGTGCGCAGTCAGCTGTCACGCAATCTTGACCCGCTGTCAATTATTTCACATCTTTGCTTCCACGAAAACTGTGTGTGTGGATCAGAAGCGTGCTGTAATACTAGTGTCAAGTGGAATTGTTTGTCACTGTCGCAACCAAGTTATGGCATCGAAGATGTAAACATAAAAGAGAGAGAGAACTTATCCCTGTCACCTCTAAAACTTCTAGTTTCTCCTTACAGAGTCACCTTTGAATCATTTGTAAAGGTTATAAGAATGTTACAAAGTTAGAAAGGAAATGATCCCCGATTTAACAAGCTCCTGATTGTCGAAAAAATACATTTTCATTGTCTGTATCATAGGAAATGGAAAGAGAACAGTGTAGAGAATATGAATTCTAATGTCGAACGAGTTAATTTAGAGAGACGCGTTGACGCTTGAATCGTGAATAAACAGACGGCTATCAAGTTCTCTGTTGTTAAATCTGATTGAAGTAACCTCTTAGCCTGCGTCTCAGATTTTCTGGGTTGTTTGGGGGGAGGGGACAGGAAAAGGGTTACCCTTCTCTATTTCCATCACCTGCGAAGAGTTTGCAACACATGTTGACATTTTGTGTGCTTTGTTTCGCCAGCCTTGGTTAAAGGGAACTGCAAAATTCTGGCCAACGTGTTCACGAGTGGACGACAGATACGGCGACCAACACTTGGTGTGTTCGTGCCCACCACTTGAGAGTTACGATTATGAAAAAACCAAGTCTTTTGCTTAAAAATATTAACAATTTAGAGATGCCATCCTTTGCGAGCTTCCTTGAAACCTGTGGGATATATTTCTTGCCGTTATGTACCTGGGAACGCCTGGTTTGGGCATCTTGAAGAAAGCAATTGGACAAATAATATCGACATATTACTCTAAGAATTTATGCAATTTCCAGAATTATCAATGGCACAGACATGGAAGCGTTAATTGTTCGAAAAGTGAATTGAACACATCAGGACGATACCTAGAACGTAGTTCAATGCGAACACCTCACCTCTCATGTTCTTTTATGAGGTTCTACACCGTATAAAAGCAAAGGATTGTTTCGGTGGAAGAAAGCCTTCGTACTCAAGCTTTTCAGCTGATTTTTCTCCAAAAGGTGAAGCTACAATTGCCAAAACAAGAGGGAGCTACGACACACCACTAAGTTATTTTTGCAACGTTCAAAGTTATGTTTACATCAAAGGAAAGCTTGCAATATTATGTTTTTAGGGTAAAAAGCGTGGAAGTGATGAAAATAAAAATGAGGAAACAGGGATGATTGATAACGGAGTTACAAAATTGAAAAATTGGTCTAAATTTTTCAGCTAATCTTTTCCGCTCTTCTCGCATTACTTTCTTTATCTTTGGCGGAGTACCATGCGCCTGCGTTTTCTTTGCCAACACTGCTATTAGGCACGTGACGTGTGTTGCCCATTATGACGCATTGTGTGAAGAGTCTGCTGTCATTTGGGGAAATGACTCTTCGTGTTTTGATATATTGTAGGAGAGGATAGTCATCCTCTTCTATTTTCATTGATTATAGATTTTAACGGTTGCATGCGCTAATAAGACTAATATGACAATGGAATTAATAGAAAAGAAAAGATTCTTATATTTGAAGCTAATTATCCTTTTTAGAAATACTTAAAAATAGCACCGGACGATTGAGTCATTCACCACGCGGTCTGTTATTTGATATTGCAGTGAATGATATCCATTCGCTGCCATGCTATAGGTACTATTTTAAGCTCTCCTAAATATCTTTCAAAAGACAACGCTTGCTGATTATAAGATCTTGGCGAAGATCTTATGGCAAAAACCCGGAAGCACTAAATTAAATTCCCTGTGTCACGGTTTATCAACTGATATTAGAGAGGTAATTAAGATAACGTTTCGAGTTCGCTCTGACGAATGGCTAATATACCAAACGTCATCTTAAAAATCGCTCAGCGGTGGCCAATTTACATTATCAACTCCGAGAAAACCAAAACTATCCAAAGTTTTTCAATCCTCTGCCATGACCGCTATATGTTCCTTGAAAACACAATATGACAGCACAAAATGCAAGTTGTTGCGTAATGGAGCTATCCGCTGACAATGTCCCGTGAGATTGCTTTGCAAATTGCTCGTTGTTGCGTAATGGAGCTATCGCTGACAATGTCCCGCGTGATTACTTTGCAAATTGTAATATACATAGCATCACCTTGATTCCATGTAAGAGATTGTGGGTGTAATAGCTCCCCAACTCCTCCCCCCTTCTAGTAAGATACCGTCCAAACATTCAAAAATTAAGCGCTGAAGAGTTAGCTATGATGAAGACAGTTACTGCCGGGACCTCTGAGTAAGAGGAAATTTGGGTGATTTTATGACGAGATGACGAGAAGAAACGTATGGGAAAGAATCTCTTTGATGTTATTTTATTGATATCAGTCGTTTCTAACCTAAGTTCCACAAACGTATAAAAATAATCAGAAGCGCGAACATACAGGCATACACCAACATCTACTAAATAGTAAGTGGAAAGGTCTCCATAACCAAGATTTTTACAATTTTTTTTTTTTTATGCAATAATACGTCATACTAAACAAGCACACAGTACTATCTTTCTAACAGAAATTCTCTACATTTGGTTTTTTCCATTTCTTAAGTTAACAATATTTGAACAACTACAATTTGTAAAAGAAAATGAACGAGAGGCCATGGTTTACAAACCATTATCAGTTCAGTTGAAATAAGCGTCATCCTTCTCGAAACCGAAAAACCTCCATTTTCCTCACCTTGAAGGTCCGACTTCCAGTTAGAAATGATTCAGTAGATTTTCTTGATGGACATTGGTAAGTGTGATTCAAAGATGCAGAGCTGTTGTTAGACGTAGCCTCAAGCAACTCTAGTTCATGAGTTGTAACATGGAACCTGGATAAATTATAACCAAACATAATATTTTATTTGATACAGGTCAAAATATGTTATTAACAATAGGATAACACATGTTCATCATGGTCCGTGCATGTT